TTTTTTTAAAGAACAAAATATGCTTGTAATAATCAGAGCAAAAATAAACTAAAATATATGTAAATTGTCTTCTTTATATATTTCCTTGTTGTTGCAGAAAACATTTAAGCCAACTTAAGATATAAAAACAAAACAGCATAAATTAAAAGGTGGAAACAAAGACAGAAAGCAGAGCCAGGAGTGGGGCCTGAGTATACATACCTCAAAGTCCTGTCCAGTTACCACTGACTGGGCCAAAGAGTTGCTACTAAGGTTTCTAGCCTCATACATGGGAAATCTGATCAGTTACACAGTTCAGTGCCTATGGCCTAGAGGACAGACTCTGTCCTAGTGCCAGACCTGGCCCTAGCACCGTGTCTGGTACACAGAAGGGGCTCAGCAACTATGTGTTGAATGAATAAATGGTCTCATGGAAAATTTAAAAAAATTTTCTTTTTCTGTTTTTTGAGAAGGGGGCCTCACTGTGGGGCCTCACTGTGTTGTCCAAAACTGGTCTTGAACTCCTGGGCTCAAGTCATCCTTCCACTTCAGGCTCCCAGTAACCTGGGACTCCAGGCACAGGCCACAGTGTTCAGCTTCTTTTTGATTCTTAGATCAGCAATACAGATTGCTTTTGAGAGACCCCATAAAGAAGACACGGCTTAACCTAAGTATATTGCAATGAACATGGTGCTCAACCACATCCTGAGAGCTGTCACACTGATGAGTTTCACAGAACCTTTTCTCTTGCTGCTTGCCTTTTAGGAACAAATGGCGTTATACCAAGCTGTGGTTAGTAGAAGTGGGTCCACAATGGGTGTTCTCTGTATCAGCAGAATTTGTGATAGACCTTTAAAAGTATCCGACCCAACCTAGTCAGACATGGTGGTATACGCCTGTAGTCCCAGATACTTGGGAGGCTAAGGCAGGAGGATCACTTGAGCCTGGGAGGTTGAGGCTGCAGTGACCCAGGCTATGGCATTCTGGCCTGGGTGACAGAGTGACACTTTGTCTCAAATATATCTAACCCAGATAATATTTGTAATGAAATTTTTTCTTTATAGAACGCAAGAGATTTTATTAACAAAATGATCTATTATGTATCTTTTAAAACAAAAACTTGTAATTTAAAAACTAACCTCTCCCTTGTTTTATTTTTTTCCCCTCTATTCCAGGGATGTTAGAACACTGGCTTCATGATATATAACTCAGGTTCTTGGAGTCTGTCAATATGAGAGTGGATGAATGCTTATCCAGTTGGTTCCCTAGAACTAGAATTGGAAAACTCTAAGGAGCAAACCTGGATTCTTTCCTAAATGACAATGTGCAAGATTTTTGAATTCTTGGTAACTCACAAGCTAAGCAGCTTTTGGACTTTAGAGGATGACCAGTCATTCTTTCCAGGTTGGGAAATCAGCATTTGTCCCCTGGCTGCTGAGCTCAGCTTTTATCTGCCTCCCCCAAGCTCCTCCTGCACCTGCAGTGACAGAACAGCACTAAAGAGTGGATAGAGGAAAAGGGAACTCAGTTACAGATCTGTGATCAGGGCACCGTGTGAGATGCTTTATATATGTTATCACTTTTAATCCCTATAACATCCCTGCAAGGTAGCCCTCCTTGTTTTCAGGACAAGGAAGCCAGTGTTCTCAGGAGTCATAGTAGCCAAGAAATGAAACGAATTTGAAATCTGGAATGATTGAATCCAAACCCATGGTCCTGCCACATAGCCCCCTTTTCTTAGGAATAACAGAAATTGGCACACTGAAAAATAGTTAAGGTGTAGAACTTCTGGTGAGTAGAACCTGATTATTCCTGAGAGATTTGACAGAATTGAGTTTCCAAGTCTCAAGAGCTAAGCTGAGCCTGAGTCTAGTGACCCTACCAGGTCCATCAGGTTCAGGGAGATCCAGGCTGAGTCAACTGTCCTTTCTGCCTTTGGCACTTCTTAACTGTGTATCTTAGTAATAATTTGGCTCTTCCAAAAATGAATTAAAATTTCTTACTTAACAGGCTTCTCCTTGTGTATACTAATCCACTTAAATGTGTTTTACTTTCATGTTTATACTGAATACTCCCAAATCTATACACCTACCTTCCCCACCTGGGTTTCCCGCAAGCCTTTGCACTCGTTTTGTTCCAACAAACTCACTTGCCCACTAACCCAGCTTTTCCTCCTGCACATGCTTTTTCATTTGTTGTCAAAAGTCAAGCTATTATAAAAGATTCATTTGGGTCAAGCTAAAGACCTAAACGCCATCCTTGGTTCTTCCCTTATTCCCACTTCTCTGCATACATCAAATGATGATCTATCATGGATCTTTTGAAACCAAAGATAGCGCCTAAACACCGCTCCCTTTATCTCTTCCCCTCAATCCAACCACCATTGCCCCAGTTCAAGCCATCATCAGCTTTTCTCTGGACAATTGCAGCAGCTTCCTAAATGGGGTGTCTGTTTCCAGTTCTGTGCCCTCAGAGCCACCTTATTCTACACAGCTGCCGGAGACTGATCTCAAATGCAATCTGATTACATCAATTTCAGTATAAAACCTTTCTCTGCTTATAAGACTGCCTATAGGAAAAAATTCAAGACAACTCACCAAGCAGCCAGGGTCCTCCAGGGATAGCACCTGCCTCTGTCTGCAGCACCGCCCATCTTTACGCAGCACCAGCATGCTCACAAATTCCTCATATAAGTGATGCGGGTTTTCAGCTGGTCCATGTGCCTGGAGTGCCCTGCTCTTGGCTTGGTAAATTCTTACCCATTATTTAAAAGTCACATTAGGTTGTGGGCAGTAGCTCAGATCTGTAATCCCAGCACTTTGGGAGGCCAAGGCAGGTGGATCACCTGAGGCCAGGAGTTCGAGACCAGCCTGGCCAACATGGTGAAATCCTGTCTGTACTAATAACACAAAAATTAGCCAGACGTGGTGATAGGTGCTTGTAATCCCAGCTACTTGGGAGGCCGAGGCAGGAGAATCACTTGAATCCAGGAGGCGGAGGCTCCAGCCTGGGTAACAACAGCCGAGATCATGCTGTTGCACTCCAGCCTGGGTTACAAGAGCAAACTCCATCTAAAATAATAATAATAAAATAAATAAAAGTCACATTAAATAACTAAAGAAGATTGACAACATACAAAAACTAAAATTGCAAAGTACATCACTAGCAAAGCTAAAAGAGGATATAACAGAAAGATATACTTCGTTTCATTATGCTGGCAACATATATAGAGTGGATGGTTAATAGCCAAACTTTACAAAAAGCTCTTAAAAATCACTAAGAAGGCTGGGTGTGGTGGCTCATGCCTGTGATCCCAACACTTCGGGAGCCAAGGTGGGCGGATCATGAGGTCAGGAGTTCGAGACTAGTCTGGCTAACATGGTGAAACTCCTTCTTTACTAAAAATACAAAAAATTAGCTGTGTGTGGTGGTGCACACTTGTAGTCCCAGCTGCTCAGGAGGCTGAGACAGGAGAATTGCTTGAACCCTGGAGGCAGAGGTTTCAGTGAGCCAAGATCAATACGTTGTACTCCAGCCTGGGCAACAAGAGCAAAACCCCGTCTCAGTTACTCACCACATGGGATTCTCCATAGGAAGAATGCTCTACAATGTGGCATTTGGCTTCCCCAGATTCAGTGATACAAGAGAAAAAGGACATCCAAGATGGAAGCCTCAGTGTTTTATAACCTAAAGTCAGGAGTGAACTCCATCACTTCTGCCAGGTTCTGTTAGCTGCACAGACCAACCCTGGTACAGCGCAGGAGGAGTTAACATAAGGATGTGAATGGGGAAGCAGGTATCACTGGGAACTATCTAGAAGGTTAATGCCCATAATACGCTTTTTAAAGTAGGAAATTATAGACAAATGTATATGATATCCTAGTTTTGTTGTTTTTTTAAAGGAGGAGTTTGTGTGTGTATAAACACAGATACAAAAAAGACTGAAAGGTTCCACACCAAGCACAGCAAGCTCTGTGCAGTAGGCTTGGGGATGGTGAGCACTTATCCTTATTTTATAATAAGATTTACTTATTTATAAATTTGTTTACATATTTATAAATTTGCTTTTCTTTTATATACTACAATGAGCATGTGTTACTTTTACAATTAAAAACAATGAAATAAGTAAAGATTTCAAAGAGACCATATTTCCTTCTCCAGGAAGCCTTCTTTGCTACTGCTGTCAAGTTGATGTACTTGTCCTGGTGCTCCCCTCTTTTCTGCCACACAATCCCACTGTTGCTAAGGACGAAGCCAGTGTGTTCATCTTTGAGCCCTCTGTGGCTAACAGACTACCTAGCACAAAATACCTGTACTGTATGTTTGTTGAATGAATGGATAAACTAAAAGATTTATTTAATGACATTAGTATTTATTGAGTGGTTCCAAAGATGATGTGTTTGAGTCTAGACCCTTGGTACCCTGATACCAGTAGGTCAAATAGCTATTGAGATCTACATTCATGTTCATCTTGATAATTTAATTTTGCTAAACATGTTATTCTTAATTTTTCACAATTTTTTAAAGGAGCTCATCTAGTATCTGGTTTTGTGGGAGATGGGAGTTAAGGTGTTCTTTTGAAAAAACAACAACAACAAAAAACCCTTATAGAAAAGAATTATATGCAACAAAGTGGAGAAAATATTCTGTTTTATGCTACTGTAGGTTTCAAATATTAAGCTAAATTGTCTTGCCTAAATGAGAAGAGTAAGATAGCTGAATCAGCCCCAAATCTTTTACCTAATGTTAGTATCACAAATGGATGCAATTATAATTGCGGGCAGAAATGAATCATTCCAAAAGTAGGTCTGTGCAGCCACTTTTTTATATTAATAATATGCACTTAGGATGGCTTAAAGCAGTTATACTTTCATTGGAATGGACTCTAGAAGCAGAAATCTGTTATTTGCTGATGTCTTTAAAAAGTTAATTTTCAGAGTTTTTAATCAATATTTTTGAATATACAGTTATACCACCACACAGAATGTGAACTCCTGCTTCAGACTTCATTATTTCCTAAATAACATCAACTCTAGAAAAATAGAGTCACTTAAACAGTCAGCGGCGTGTAACCACAAGTTTTAGCAACAAAAACCAAGAGCTCCCCAGAGAACCGGAAGCACGTGTTTCAGTATAATGCTTTCCAACCATTCCTGGAAAGTTGGTACCCTGGGCCATTCGCAAACATTTTCTTGGGTGCCCACCTATCGGGGGCAGGGAGGTGACCTCCTAGGCGCTGGGCACACGAGCTGGTGGACTGATTGACATCGAGCTCTCTCGAGCTCACCGAAGTGAGCACTCAGAGCCCAAAATGCTGGCCCAAATGAAGGGCTGCCTAGGTGCTGCTGATCTCAGCTGTAATTTTTTTTTCTTCCCCTGTTGCGGTAAATCACGACTTCAACACCTGGGCTGAAGTGTCGCATTCAGCACAGAGGTGGAAGTAAGGGGCAGAAAACAGAAGAACTGAGAGAAATGGATCCTGTGTATTAAGACAACGTGATGCAGCGTTAAAAGGTTAGGAGGCTGCGATCCCCGGGCTAAGAAAAACAAACGGCTGGCGGTGAACGACATGGGTGCTGGGGAGCATTGATCTTGAACCTTTCCCTTACAGCCAAATCCTGGCCAAGGCCACAAATTTCAGATCGCCTGAAAACTAAACTGGCTCTTGACGGTGACCTCGGCTGGGCGAAACCCTCTGTTGCTGATGATTTAACTACAGGTCCGCAGGTTACTTTCCAGGGAAAGAAATGAATTCTGAATAAAGAATCACCGAAGCCTTACTCCCTCCACAAAATTAGAATTCCCTTTTTCTCCTAGTCAAATAGGAAACTCACAGTTCCCAAGTTCTGCGGTGCAAAGGTGTACCCTGGTCCAGAGAGGTGGTGACTCCCCCACCCCTCCGCCTCCCGGTTGTCCTGCTTCCCAACGCAACCCACGAGGGTCCCGCAGGGTGAGGGTTCTTTGCAATCCCTTCCCTGGGATCCAGAGAGCGCCACGCGGAGTCTACCTGCAGGATGAGGGGCCCCGGGTTCCCGCCCCCTTCCCCTCTACTCCCCCACTCTGCGAGCGCAGCCAATCTTGCCGCCCGCGCTTCGGGAAGCTCGCCCCCGAGCTCCTCAGTTCCTGGTGGTGGCTACTTGCGGTAGAGACTTGGTTTCCGCGCGTTTGCTTATTTATATATTTGCCTTAATTGGAATATGATCCCCGCTTCCAGGCTCCGCTCCCGTGCGAGACCACTGCACCCCCCGAAAGCTTCCCCGGAGCCGCGCGCATAATCCCAGGACACCCTCTGGAAGGCACGCGGAGAGCGGTGCGCGTGGCCTGGCACCGGAAGGGGCCCTCCTCTGGGCACCGAAGCACCCCGGGACAGCGCCCCGGGCCGCGGGTTCCTCCTGCGATGCCCGGGCGTCGGAGACGGGATCGGGAGCTTCGGGGGCCCGCCGGCACCGACGGTTTTCGCTTCCCTGGCGAGCAATGGGACGAGGTCCTGCCGCTGCGCGGGGAGGGACTGTGGGTGGAAAAGCTGCTGCAGCGCCGGGGCGAGGGGGCCGGGGGCGCAGTCACTTGTTGCGACCAATAAACGGCGCTCGATCCTGATGCGCTGTTGTTTCTAAAATCTTTAGCTGTGTCCCGGGTCCCTCCAACTCAAGCACTTCGGCCGGGAAGAAGGGGCAAGCGAGAGCCTCTGGCTCTGTTGGGGGAGAGGGGCGCCGCGCCCGAAGAGGCCCCGTCCCGCCCTGCGGCAGCCGCCCCGGGGCACCCAGCCGCCTCCTTCCCTCCGAAGAGCGTCCCTGACGGTGAAACCGCGCGGGACACAACCCATCGCGGCTCACCACCCACTTACAAATCGCTGTCGCTAGGATTCCCGCCACTCCTCTCAGTCCGGCCCCCCCACCCCTGCCACTTTTCGGAGTCCCCCGCCCTCGTCACTGCCTCCCTGGAGCTGTGGGGCAGTCGGACGCCGAGCTGCCGAACCGCTAGATCGCCTGGCCGGAGCTGCCCTCTGCAGCCGAGCCGGCGCCCCCTGCCCTTCGCCGCCGCGCCGGGCGGGCGCCCCCGCCGCCCTCGCTCGGCTCCTCCCGGCTCCCTGCGCGCAGGTCGCGGAGCTCCGCCACCGCTGGGTGCGGCGGGGCCGGCGCGATGCGGCAGCTGTGCCGGGGCCGCGTGCTGGGCATCTCGGTGGCCATCGCGCACGGGGTCTTCTCGGGTTCCCTCAACATCCTGCTCAAGTTCCTCATCAGCCGCTACCAGTTCTCCTTCTTGACCCTGGTGCAGTGCCTGACCAGCTCCACCGCGGCGCTGAGCCTGGAGCTGCTGCGGCGCCTAGGGCTCATCGCCGTGCCCCCCTTCGGCCTGAGCCTGGCGCGCTCCTTCGCGGGGGTCGCGGTGCTCTCCACGCTGCAGTCCAGCCTCACGCTCTGGTCCCTGCGCGGCCTCAGCTTGCCCATGTACGTGGTCTTCAAGCGCTGCCTGCCCCTGGTCACCATGCTCATCGGCGTCCTGGTGCTCAAGAACGGCGCGCCCTCGCCTGGGGTGCTGGCGGCCGTGCTCATCACCACCTGCGGCGCCGCCCTGGCAGGTGAGCTGGCCTCGCGCCGACCCCAGCCGACCCCACCCACCCCGCCCAGCAGGGAAGAGACCGCGGGGTTCACTGAGTGCAACGCCCTCACTTCCAGATGGGGAAACTGAGGCAGATAGCTGCGGAGAGCTTTGAGAGTGGTCTCTCAGCTCGCAATAGGGACTTCCGGGACCCAGCCAGCCCTTTGCAGCTCTCCGGCTTTCTTCTCCCCAAGTCCTCCTGCCCCCAAGGTCCTGGCTTCCGACCCTCACCCCTGCTTCACCCGGATCGCTCTTCCCACAGCCCCCTCCACTGGTCTTCCCCGGTCACCCCATCCTCCGGGAGAGGTGGGAGAGCCGCCTGAGCCTGGGAGCTAGAGTCCTCCAAGCCTGGACCGACCCGGAAGGAGGGGGCCGTGAACTTCCTTGGGTCACGAAGGGCTGGAATGGGGATGGGGGATGGGGGCGAAGCTTAGGCTCCCGGGGCTACTGCAGAGTGGCTGGTGCCACGCGGGGGCTGCAGGCCTGAAGCAGACCCAGGTGCTGAGTGAGACGAGAGGCCGGGGCAGGGGGAAGCTTCACTGGGGGCCAGGACAGGCGTTCTCCCCAGCGCCTGGCCCGCTCTGGGTTACAGGCCACTGGCTGAGGCTTCCTCTTCCTTTGGTGCCCCACGGGGCAGGGGCTGGGAGGTGCAGGTACCACGCGCCGGAGTGACTTCCGTGTCAGCTCGGGAAAGCCACAGCACCTTCCCCGAGGGCATGTGCGCTCTCCGGGACCTTTGTCGTGGACAGGGGAAGATGGGGTGACCCGGGGACATGGCGGGAAGGCGCACTAGACACTGAGTTTGGCTGTCGCATTTGACTCAGGTGGCCGAGGTACGACTGGGGTCTGTCACTCAGGAATCCGGTGGGCAGAGCTGGGGCGCGAACCCAGTCTGCTTTCCCTACCCGACGCGTTTTCTCCGTGGGTGCCCCCGCCCCACGCCAACCTGCTGTCTTCTCTCTTTTTCCTTCCCGCCCGGGCTCGGCTGTCCTCCTCCTGCGCCACAGGAGCCGGCGACCTGACGGGTGACCCCATCGGGTACGTCACGGGCGTGCTGGCAGTGCTGGTCCACGCCGCCTACCTGGTGCTCATCCAGAAGGCCAGCGCCGACACCGAGCACGGGCCGCTCACCGCGCAGTATGTCATCGCTGTCTCCGCAACCCCGCTGCTGGTCATCTGCTCCTTTGCCAGCACCGACTCCATCCACGCCTGGACCTTCCCGGGCTGGAAGGACCCGGCCATGGTCTGCATCTTCGTGGCCTGTATCCTGATCGGCTGCGCCATGAACTTTACCACTCTGCACTGCACCTACATCAACTCAGCCGTGACCACCAGCTTCGTGGGCGTGGTGAAGAGTATTGCCACCATCACGGTGGGCATGGTGGCCTTCAGCGACGTGGAGCCCACCTCTCTGTTTATTGCTGGTGTGGTGGTGAACACCCTGGGCTCCATCATTTACTGTGTGGCCAAGTTCATGGAGACCAGAAAACAAAGCAATTACGAGGACCTGGAGGCCCAGCCCCGGGGAGAAGAGGCGCAGCTAAGTGGAGACCAGCTGCCGTTCGTGATGGAGGAGCTGCCCGGGGAGGGAGGAAATGGCCGGTCAGAAGGTGCGGAGGCGGCAGGTGGCCCAAGTGGGCAAGAGGCCAGGCGTGGCCCCCGAGGAGTCCTGCTGGTGGCTGGGAGCTGTGAAGAAGGGAGCAGGAGGTCGTTAAAAGATGCTTACCTCGAGGTGTGGAGGTTGGTTAGGGGAACCAGGTATTTGAAGAAGGATTATTTGATAGAAAACGAGGAGTTACCCAGTCCTTGAGAAGGAGAGTAGGTACCTTGTGCATACACTTATTTTATATGTTAGAATGACATGTTTTCATGAGAGGCCTCCCCGTTTTATTCTTTGCGGAATGGGAAAGGGAAGAAAAGAAAGAGGCTGAAAGGTACTGACAGGTAGCCACAAATTTAGCACCTGTGTGAATTATTTAGTGTGACTTCACCTGAGGCATCACAGAGACAAAAGAATGTGAAGGTACTTAACAAAGTAAGGCAACGGTTTCTGCTTCAGACTCCTGGCACATTTATTTTTTGTCATTATAGCCATAACTAAATATCTGCATGTACCAAGAGTCCCTAAGCCACCCCCTCCAAAGATGGAGTGTAGAAATGAGACAGTGCTTAGTAAGTTCAAAGATGACATTCAGGGATGCATTTTTGATGACAGAACTAGTTTTTATCGCCAAGCGGGCAAAGAGTATATTGCTGAAATGATATATAAATATACTGAATTGATGTTTACTGTGTATAGTCATCTGAAATACCATATTTACTCAGATTCTACTCACTCGTTTTTTAAAATAAGTGTCCAACTATTCTATTATATGGTGATAGAAACTGTTAAAGCTATTTTGAAAATATGAGTTCTTAGCGTTAATCATGAAGTCTAAAGTTTGCTTTTAGTAATTATTTTGAAAGTTGTTTTGGTTCATTGCTTTATAATATTTATTATTGAATGCCAAACCTATTCTCTTTTTCACTGTGTCCAATATTCTTTCAAGCAAATGCAATGGCTGGAATATAATTCAGAATTAACTGAAACCCAGTCGGAAGAGGGCCACCTGTAAAGCAATCCCTTTCAAGTTGCACTGCATATCCCCAACCACGTTACCAAAAGAGCAACTGCTATATTCACATTATGATATTTTTCTATCTTAACTTTGTCAAAATAAAGTATGAGTGTAACTATTAAAAGATACATTGTTAGAAATTTATTTTAGACACATGTTCTCTTGTTGCTGTATAGTGGTTTGTGTCTGCCTCCAATATGTGGTCACAGTATCTGGTGGGTAGGGACCACACCATTGGAAACTTGCTAAATTAACAAAGCTATTTGGTTTGAAACAACAACAAAAACAGAAACACATCTTCCAGTGAAGGAAGCTGTTAAAGGCCTGGTGCAGTGGCTCATGCCTGTAATCCCAGCAACCTGGGAGGCCAGGGCAAGCAAATGGCTTGAGCTCAGGAGTTCAAGGCAAGCCTGGGCAACACGGCGAAACCCCATCTCTGCAAAAACACCAAAAATTAGCTAAGCATTGTGGTGGGCATCTGTAGTCCCAGCTACTCAGGAGGCTGTGGTAGGAGGATCACCTGAGCTCGGGAAATCAAGGCTATAGGGAGCTCTGATTGTGTCCCTACACTACAGCCTGGGCAACACAGTGAGACCCTGTCTCAAAAGCAAACGCACGCACAAACAAAACACGATAAAACACTGCATCGCACTGAGGCATGAAAGCCATCCACACCAGACTTCACTTAATATGGAATCTGAGAAGTAATAAATGTTCAAACCCACCAAGGAGGAAGCTTTCTGTGAGCTCCAGGCAGGAGAGATACTTTGAGAATGAGGGGGCCCTCTGATGTGCCAGCATGTTGCTGAGATTCCCAGAGAGCAGCATCTTATATTTTTCTTTCTTTTCTAAAAATCAAAGCAAAGCAAAAAGCAGAAGCAACAATGAAGTTCCGGCTCCGTCCGTTTGGCTCCACAAGTGGCTGAGCAAGTGGAACTGTGGTTTGTGATTGGCCCTGGTTTGCTGGTTTCCACAGGCAATTGACTGTTGCCAGAGGTGCATCCACCAGCCATTTAAGATGTAGGAGACCTCACATGCTGCAGTTAGAGATGGTTTGTCAGGGTTACGATGACTTCTTCAAAAATAAGCATTTATTTTCATGCTAACATGCCAAAGAGCAACATCGTGTTACAACTATAGAAAGCTGAGAATTAATGAAAAGCAGCAAAGTTGGATGAAGTATGTATTTCTTGTGGACACCACTGCCAGATAAGTGGACAGAATGATTGTTTTTCACTGAAAAAAAAAAATCTCCATTGGTTAAAAATGTGAGTTTGCATTTTTTATAGCAAAAAGGATTAACTCTTTGCTGTCAATGAACTTGTGGAGACACTCTATTGGACTTCTCTAGAGAAACAGAACCCATAAGAGAGTGAGATTTTAAGGAAGTGGTGATTGTGGGGCAGTCTGAGTCTATAGGCCATGCTGGCAGGTAGGAAACTCAGGCAGGGTTTCCATGCTGCAATCTTGAGGCAGAATTGATGTTGCTACTTCTGGAAACCTTACTCTTTGGTCTGTAGGCCTTCAGCTAATTAGATGATACATCTTACAAATGTCTTCGCAGCAACATCTAGACGCTATTTGACCAAACACTGGATACCACAGCCTAGCCAAGCTGACACATAAAAGGAATCCTTCCTCCACTGTCAGTAGCACTGGAGGCAATCCAAGACTCTGGTTCACCCTGACCTTCGGGCTCTGGTAAGGCCTTGCATCAGGCAGGCAGGGGGCTTCTGACCGGCTCCCGGATATCGGTATAGGTGGGACCTCACTGGAATTCACTTGCCACTGCTGCTAGACTGATCCAGTCTTTGTCAGTCTACCCCACTCTGACAACTTGGATTCTCCCTTGTTTCTGAAATTACACCCCCACCCAGTACCCAACTGGGCCCCTGCTTGGACAACCTGTCCCTATATCAATTCTTCATGGCTGAGGCCCAGCCTCACGCTTACCTGTCATTTCCCAACTGGAATCTGTCTCTAAAACATAGCTTGATGTCAGACAGACCTTCTCAATGCTGGCCCCCCAAATGCTGTCTAGCTTTATTTTGTTTTATTTTATTTTATTGAGACAGGTCTTGCTCCGTCTCCTAGGCTGTAGTGCAGTGGTGCCATCATAGTTCACTGCAGCCTCAAACTCCTGGGCTCAAGTGATCCTCCCACCTCAGCCTCCTGAGTAGCTGAAAGTATAGCTGCATGCCACCACACCTGGCCAATTAAAAACATTTTTTTTGTAGAGAAGAAGGTCTCACCATGTTGCCTAGGCTGATCTCGAACTCCTAGTCTCAAGCAATCCTCTTACCTCAGCCTCCTAAAGCATTGGAATTATAGGCATGAACCACTGTGTCTAAGCCTAGATCTCTATGATTGAGGATGAGATCAATCAGAAAGATCAGTCACACTGGGGCAAGGCTGGGGACAATGGCTGACACTTATAATCCCAGCACTTTGGGAGGCTGAGGCAGGCAGATCATTTGGGCCCAGGAGTTCAAGACCAGCCTGAGCAATATGGCGAAGTCCTGCCTCTACAAAAAATACAAAAAAAATAGCCAGACATAGGGGTGTGTGCTTATCGTCCCATCTACCTGGGAGGCTGAGGGGAGAGGATCACCTGAGCCCAGGGACGTTGAGCCTGCAATGAGCCGTGACCATGCCACTGCACTCCAGCCTGGGTGACAGAGTGAGACCCTGTCTCAAAAACAAACAAATAAACAAACAGATAAATAAGAAACACTGAGGCAATGACTGCCCAGAACTGCGTAGGTGAGAGGGTGCGTGAATGTTACTGGGGTTGCTGAGCAGAGCTGAGCACTGACCTGAGCTCCTGTGAGAGGAGCAGTCCTACAAAAGCAGTCACTCACTGTCAGAGGACACCGTGGTCTAAGTGACTAATAGCAATACTTCACGAAGACAAAAGTGGGTGAAACTCTTAAGTCCTTAACTGACTGAAGACTTTTCTGCATTTCAGTTTGGGAATTTTCTATTGCCCTACGTTCAAGCTCACTGATTCTTTCTCTGGCTGTGTTGAGTCTTTAGAAGAACCCGTCAAAGGCCTTCATTTTCTGTCACAGTGTCAATTGTTAACTTCCAGCATTTCCTTTTGATTCTTAGATTTCCTTTTCTCTGTTTCCATTACCCATCTGCTCTTGGAGGTGGCTGCTTTTCCCATTAGAGACCTTACCATATTAATCACAATTATTTTAAATTCCTGTCTGATAATTCCAGAATCTGTGTTATATCTGAATCTAGTTCTGATATTTACTTTGTCTCTTCAGAATTTTCCTCACCTATTTAGCATGTCTTATAATTTTTTTCTTGGAAGTTACATGCTGTATTAGAAAACAGAAACAGAGGCAAACAGGCCTCTAGTGTGAAACTGCATGCTAATCTGGCTAGAAATCAGGTTCTGTTGAATGTCTGCTGCGGCTGTAGGTGCAGGTGCCAGAGGCTACAAGCTTTCTCTAGCATCCTTGTTTTGTCTCCCTGTTGTCTTTGGGCTTCCCTGAGAACTCGTCCTTCCTTAGAGTCAGGCACAATGCCACTCTTTCAGGTGGAATCCATTGTGATTAAACTGGAGCCTGTGGATGTGGTGGTAAACTCTGGGGAAGGGGAAATGTTCTGCAATCTCATTAAACTTCAGCCTTTTAGTAGGCCTGTGTCCCTAGTCCCTGACCTTCACAAGTGTTTCCTGGCCTTTCCCCCCTCTCTTTACATGAGACAGGAAGGCTAGAGGAGCCTGGAATGGGAGAGATGCCCTTTCCCCAGGTGGAATAAGGCTCTGGGGAGCCTTTGACCCTGGGAGTCACTAGCCTGAGTCTTAGTAATCTTTTTTTTTTTTAAACAGAGTCTCACTCTGTTGCCGAGGCTGGAGTATTTACTACCCATTTCTTCCCAATCCTCCAGCCTCCAGCAATTACTAATTCCAAGGTTAGTTCCGTGACAGTCATGGGACCTGGTCAGAGCCAATGAGATGCAAGGATGCTTTTGGCAAGACTTAATTAGGTTGCATATTTTTTTCTCAATGGATTTGTACCTAGGAGGATGGAGTAGGGTAAAGCAGAGGTGCTGTTGCCATCTTGGCTCACTGCAACCTACCCCTCCTGGGTTCAGGTGATTCTCCTGCCTCAGCCTTCCAAGTAGCTGGGATTACAGGCACCCCCGCACTGTTTCCCAACTATGCCCAGCTAATTTTTGTATTTTTAGTAGAGACAAGGTTTCACCATGTTGGCCAGGCTGGTCTCAAACTCCTGACCTCAGCTGATCCTCCCGCCTTGGCCTCCCAAAGTGCTGGGATTACAGACGTGAGCCACTGTACCCAGCCAAGTCTTAGTAAAATTGTCCCTGGTATTGTAACGGGGAGTGCTCTCGTAATCACAGTGATTACTCTCCCCTCCCCTGACCAGGGGGCAAGGGGCGCCTTCTCAACTCTTCACCACCTGTGGGGCTCCTGGAGGTCAGGCCCATGAAAATGTGACCCTCAGGAATTTCTCCCTCTCTCAATAGTCCATATTAAGCCTCCAGAAATTTATCAAAATTACCGTTTAAGTGTTTTGACCAATGGCTCCAGTGACCTCTGATCCAGGTAAGGAGATCTCAGCTATAAACTTTTGGGATTTACCTCTCTTCACATTTAGGGGTGGCAATTTGCCCGGTGACCTCAGTTCTCTGATTGGTCCAAGAAATCTCATTGATTTCTCAGATTTTGTTCATCTTTTTTCTTGTTGTAAGGATGGTAGGAACCACTTCTAAGTTCTTTACATATTGAAGCCGTAACCAGAAGTCCTGGGTGAAGACTTGAAAAGTCTGCTCAATTTCTGTAAAAACAGAAGTTGTGAAGGGAACCTAGACATTCTTAAGGAAGCTTCCAAGAGAAAGCAAAAGTGTCCAAAGCCACTGGCCCTTCTTGTCACTCCCACCCTCCCACATCGCATGTTGAGTGTTGCCCACTTCAACACTCAGCTGCGGTGACACATACATGCGGGTAGCATCCAAATCCAAGTGCATTGTGAGCAAGAGTCCATGCATGTTAAGATTGGTGTGCCACGACAGCTGTGATTAGTATCAGTTACCCCCCTTCTTCTTCTTGGAGTGCTTCACTTCTTCATAACCCAAGTCTCTTCCACTTCTGGATTTTCTTTTA